GAATATGGCTGCCCTGGGTAAGGCCAAGATGTTCATCTCCCTATAAGACCGTGACAGAAATACTCATCACAAATTTGGGGAATATCCTAGATCACTGGTGGCGAACCTATGGCACCTGTGCCAAAGACAGCCCTTGGAGTCCTCAGCCTCCAGCCCTGCCTCTCCCCATGGTGCCCTCCTCACCAGCAGCCTCCCCCGGGCATGGCCCGCACTGAGCAGCGCAACCAAAGACATGGCAGTGGGTGTGGGTGGCTATGCCGATGCTGCTGCCGGGCAGCCCATCGTATGCCGATGATGCTGCAAGGCGCAGGCAAAGGGCATGGCTGCCATGGCACTGCTGGGGTGCCTGGTTGATGTGCAGCGGACCGTGGAGGTGGTGTGTGGCCCTGCGGGTGGGTGGGGCGGGGCAGGGCAGGCCGGAACGGGGCGGCGGAGCAGGGCAGGTTTTGGACACTCGGTCTCTAAAAGGTTCGCCATCACTGTCCTAGATGCTCCGTGGAAGGGATTGAGTAGATTGACTGATCCGCAGCAAAGCTTTAATCTGTTTTTTTTGGGGGGGCTGAAAAAATTTTCTTTCTGTACAATCAGAGACTCTTAGATAATAATTTGTAGATATCACATCCTGGCTAGACAAATGAATTGTATCAAACCTGGAATACAGATTGGCATGTTTTTTGAGTGGTGGGGAAAGACACGCCACCTTAAGCTTCTAAATTCTAATCAGAATGGTAATTTTCTTTTTTTTCCATGCAGATGATGTATCTGTGAATGAGAACGACAAGCAGGGAAGGTTAAATCTACTCGAAATAGCGAAGAATGAATTACAAGTACAAACCCTAGGCCATCAAAGTGACACCAAAAGGCTAAAGAGAAACGAGCCAGAAGATGGAGTGGAGAAGTCATCCACTTCTCTTCCTGTTGGTATTTGTGTCTTCCTGTCCCAGCAAGATCAGAGTGAAATGAGAAAAGGAAAATATAGAAAAAGAGAAAAGATGAATTTGAAGAATATAAATACGGTAGAAACTAGACTAGAGAAAAACTGCAAGCCTTTAGACACTATGGAAAATAGCTTCTTCACTTCTACTTCACCCAAAAAACTGTATAAGAAAGACAGATCATATCCCTCTGTAAATTCTGGGGGGGATTCCAGTCTGAGCAAAAAGAAGACATTGTGCATGCAGTGTGGAAAGTGTTTCTGTAGCAAAAGTAATTTTAATCGCCATCAAAAAATCCACACTGGGGAGAGACCATATAAATGCATGGAATGTGGAAAGACCTTTATCCAGAAAGGACATGTTAGTCTTCATCAACGGATTCATACTGGGGAGAGACCGTATAAATGCACGAAATGTGGAAAGAGTTTCATTAGCAACAATAATCTTAATCGCCATCAAAAGATTCACATTGGGGAGCGATCATATAAATGCATGGAATGTGGAAAGACCTTTATCCAGAAAGGACATCTTAATCTTCATAAAAGGATCCATACTGGGGAGAGACTATATAAATGCACAGAATGTGGAAAATGTTTCATTAGCAACAATAAACTTAATAGCCACCAAAAGATTCATACCACAAAGAGACCACATAAATGCATGAAATGTGGAATGACCTTTACATGGAAAGAACATCTTAATCTCCACCGAAAGAACCACACAGGGGAGAGACCATATAAATGTATGGAATGTGGAAAGACCTTTATCCAGAAAGGACATCTTAATCTTCATCAAAGGATACATACTGGGGAGAGACCATGTAAATGCATGGAATGTGGAATGACCTTTATCCAGGAAGGACATCTTAATCTTCATCAAAGAATCCATACTCAGGAGAGACCATATAAATGCATGGAATGTGGAAAGAGCTTTATCCAGAATGGAGATCTTAATCGTCACAAATGGATCCACACTCTGGACAGACCGTTTAAATGCACGGAATGTGGAAAGAGTTTCATTAGCAACAGTAATCTTATTTGCCACCAACGGAACCACACCGGGGAGCGACCATATAAATGTATGGAATGTGGAAAGACCTTTACCCGGAAAGGATATCTTAATCTTCATGAAAGGATCCACACTGGGGAGAAACCGTATAAATGCATGGAATGTGGAAAGAGCTTTACTCAGAAAGAAAAACTTAATTGTCACGAAAGGATCCACACAGGAGAGAGACCTTATAAATGCATGGTGTGTGGAAAGAGCTTCATTAGCAACAATAAACTTAATCGCCACCAAAAGATTCACATTGGGGAGCAATCATATAAATGCATGGAATGTGGAAGGACCTTCACCCGAAAAGGATATCTTAATCTTCATGAAAGGACGCACACTGGAGAGAGAGCATAAATTCATGGAATGTGGAAAGAGCTTTACTGAAAAAGAAAAACTTAGTCATCATGAGCCACATAATTCTGTCAGGTGGTTTTTTCTAAAGTGCCCAGCTTCTACAAGGTTTTTTTTTTCCTAAAGTGCCAAGACCAAGTGCAAATATAGCTTTAACATTGTAGCTCCTTTGGTTGTCACAATGGCATCCCCACACGATAAAATTGGTGGAACCACCATCACTGTGTGTGCTTAATTCTCATAAAATGATCCACACAGGAAAAATAAATGAAATCCGTGGATTGACCTTTATTCTCAGCAATCAACTTCATTTTCACCCCAGGATCCAAACATGGCAGAGAGCCATGTCTGGATCCTGGAATGTGCAACAATCTGGCTTGTACTGGATTCATGGAATGTGCAACAATTATTATTATTATTATTATTATTAATTTAATTTCTATACCGCCCTTCTCCCGCAGGACTCAGGCCGGTGCACAGCATATTAAAAACAGATACAAATAACAATATACAAAAAATAAAAACCCCTCTAAAACCAAATTAAAAACCAAATATTAGAGGCTGTGTTCCAATTAAAATTATACTTAAAATCGTCCCTAAATAAAATCCTCCTTAGGTCAGGCCCGCTTGCTGGAAAAGCCATGTCTTGAGGGCGCGGCGGAAAGTAAGGAGGTCCGGAATCATCCGGATCTCGGGGGGTAGTTCATTCCAGAGGGTGGGGGCACCCATAGAGAAGGCCCTTCCCCTGGGGGTCGCCAGCCGACATTGTTTGGCCGACGGCACCCTGAGGAGACCCACTCTGTGGGAGCGTACCGGTCTATGGGAGGAAATCTGTGGCAGAAGGCGGTCTCGGAGGTAACCAGGTCCGATGCCATGGAGCGTTTTAAAGGTGGTAACTAACACCTTAAAACGCACTCGGAAGACCACT